TTTATATGCATTAGTATAGCTGTTTTCTGTTAGAATAGGCAGACTAGGCAAATTGTTTGTTTTGTTTGTTTGTTGTTTAACGTCCCTGACCTTTCACTCATATTTATTTCTATGTATCTTTCTATGTATTGTCCTGTATGTAAATGCATGCTATATGTGTTGTTTGTTGTTGTGTATTTGTGTGTGTTTTTGTGTGTGTAAATTATGTCTGTTGTGCTGCATACCATTGAAATTTTAACTATGTTTATATGTGTATATTGTCATTTATGTATTTTATGTATAAGTATATGTATTACTAATCATGTCGGTCAAAAGCTCTATAGAACTTATGTTATTTGTTAAAAAATCCGACTTTAAATAAAATTTTCTGATTCTGATTTTGATTCCCTCTCGAGAATTTTTCACTCATATGGAGACGCCACCACTTGCCGGTGGAGGGCTGCAATTTTTGACATACTCGGCACTCAGAGCCATTGAGAACTGAGGGATCTTATTCGTGCCAGCACCTACTGTGACACGGGACCTCGGTTTATACGGTTTCATCCGAAGGACCTCCACGTCCCGCAGTGGATTCGAATGCGTGACGTAAGGATCTACTCCTTACATCGCGACTCTAGAACATACGCTCTACCCACTGCGCCACGCATGCGACCGAGACAAATTGTGAATGCATAATGGGTCAGATTCTAGTTTTCTTATGAGCCCTGCTGCTATAATATTAATCAGAGTTTTGGGTTCATTATACTTGTATTTCTCAAGGGCTCGAAAGCCAAAATTTGAGTTCGTCATCTGTACTACTATTAGTACCCTTATGGCCAACCAGGACAAGTTTTTCTTTGAAACCACATGATGGCAATTGGAATTAGTCATTTTATTTCCAAGCGAATGGAATACAGAGAAGGTTTAAATATCTAGCAGTTATTAATCATTTATTATACCCGTTGCTTGAAAAGGGGAGGGGGTATATGGTGTAGGGCCTGTTCTTCCTTCCGGACGTCCTTAACACTTATATAGGGGTACCCTTTTCTTATCCACTACTCTTCTTTTACCACTGAATAAAATTTAATCAAACTTTCACAGAATCTCTATTGCATAGTTACATTTTGCACCACCTATTTATTTTTTGATCGGGCAGATGGGTGACCCATAGCAAAATATGGACACGACATTCTTTTCTTAACATGGGGGAGCTAGGGTTTATCCAAATCTTATCCGCAACTCCTCCAATGCTAATGAATAAAATTTAATCAGACTTTTACAGAATCTTTATTACCTTGTGTCAATGTGACCTCTTATTTTATTTTTCGATCGGACAGGCATTTGGGGTTTTCCATAGCAAAAGATGGATACTGCCATTCTTTCTATAATTGGGGGGGGGGGGTTTCCCATCTCTCATCCGCAACTCCTCCTATATCAAAGAATAAAATTTAATCATACTTTTAAAGAATATCTGCTACATAGTCCCATTGTGCACCTCCTATTTTTGGTTTCGATCGGACAGATATTTGGGGATTTCCATAGAAAAAAACTGAACACTGCCTTTCTTTATATAATATAGGGGTACGCATCTCTTATCAGCAACTTCTCCTATACCCATGAATAAAATTTAATGAGACTTTCAGATAATCTCTGCTACATAGTGCCATTGTGCACCTCATATTTTATGTTCTGAGCGGACATAAATTTGGGGTTTCCCGTAGCATAGCATGGACTTTGCCATTATACTCAGGGTATCAATTTTGTGAGCCTAGGGCTCACAGTACCTCTATTTTGTATTTGGGGCGTGTTGTGGTAATGGGTTACGCGAATTAACAAAATGATAGAAGTACAGAGAAGCCAAACCTTATAGAACATTTAATACTCTTGACAAGAATAAACGAAATGAATTGCGAGTATTGTGTACGGTTTGCACTATTCTGATCATCCAAAATTCCGGTTCAAAATCCTACGAAAGATAGCGCACTCAAAGGGAGTTGCATATAACCTTAATAGAGTCTTGATAACACATGTTTAAAGCTTTACATAAGTACAATATAGTGTTTACCTCTCCATTACATAGAGTTACATAGTTTTCTTTATGAATATGAAAATAATGAATTTATATGCGGCATATGATGCTGTATCAGTATATCAAACGTCTCAATCCACGGGTTAGTGTCTATTCCTTTACCACAAATGGATAAAAAATGGACACTTATATAACTGTAGCCTAAGACAATGTTGTATATCTTACGTGTTTGAACAAAATTCTGTTCTAGATTTAATTGGAAAATAATCAAGGTCAGCAACGAAAATACGTGGAATTTTATTATATGCTGTTCCCCTTTCTGAACTGAGCGTTTTCATAAAATATAATCTGAAGACATACATTATAACGATGTTTATAATGATCCCAAAAGATAGTTTTAACAAAAGGTTTTTCCGAGGCATGGACGTTAATTGAAAGCATTCACAAATTGACTGTGATGGAAAAAAAAAAACTGTCGTTATTCGTGCTTTTGATCTGACCGACATTACAAGTGCGATACAATTTTTAGATTAAGGGCATATTAACAAAATATATCTGAAAATGAACTGAAATTGATGAAAAAACATTCGTATCTTTCGTAAAAGAAAGTATTTGAAATTATCGCATTAAGAGTGAAATTCTAAGAAGATGAGTTACGGAGAAAATCGTAATTCTCTGACTTGAATTCAGTAATCTGTATGGATTAAATCCGCTCATGAACAGCAATAATATATTTCCTTCATTTTTACCAGATGACGAGTTTTAGTAAATAAGTGTTGCCTGTCTACCCCTAACAAAGAATACTATAGTTAACTATAGTGTTTGTTTGTTTGTTTGTTGTTTAACGTCCCTCTCGAGAATTTTTCACTCATATGGAGACGTGGCGCCGGTGGAGAGCTGCAAATTTTGACCTATGCTCGACACTCAGGGCCATTGAGCAGTGAGGGATCTTTTTCGTGCCAGCATCTACTGCGACATGGGGCCTCATCCGAAGGACCGGTCTCCACGTCCCACAGTGGGATTCGAACCCGCGACGTAAGGATCAACTCCTTACATCGCGACTCTAGAACAGACGCTCTACCACTGCACCACGCGTGCGAATAACTATATAGTGATAACTTGACATAATGGAAACTATAGTTAACTAAAGTGATAAATTTGACCTTTGATTTACTATGGCGGTAATTTTGACACTTTGATTTACTATGGCATCAAGTAGGGAAGAAGACTAGACATATTCATAACAATGGAAAGTAAAGAAAAATATCGCTTCGCCTCGGTCAATATTTATATTTTTCTGGTGAATATCAAACCTTATTATACCTCTGTGATTTTTTTTCTTTATAAAGATATGACAAATATACGTACTATTTTTTATAAACAGTCCCAACCATTGGAATAGTTTTTGTGCTACATGTATTTGCCCATGGTGAAATAGTCACCGAACTATTCACCGGCAGCATTCCATTTCCATAGCGTTTCAATCTAGGAACTCTTCTGGATGTAACCAGTTCGTGACATGACACAAGTAAAGTCTGCTTCGGTATAATAAAACACCTATTTACAGGCATTGAGGACAATACCAAGTTTATTGTCCCCCAAGACAGTAACTATTTCCCGAGGCGCAGCCAAGGAAAAAATAGCGATACTTTAACAAATCTATAAATAAGAAAAAGCCACTTTACTTCGCCTTATATAACTTTTACATACTAAACAATATTCAAAACCCGAATTCATCTTAAAAATATCATTGTTATAATAATGAATCTTCTTAACACGGTAGAAATTTCAAGATGATTCCACCATTTACATTTTATTGAATACTAAGTCAGTCTTGTGCTTAATTAAATGGTTTGCACATGTATGCTGTAACAAAAATGCCAAAACTGATCATTCCACTTTGTTTAAACCACACCATGCCGACCAGATAACAGCATCATCGGATCACAAGTTAGCTGCAGGTAATACCGTCATAATCATAATTAATGATTGATAGATTAAATGAATGCATCTACAATATTAATCATAATATGGTTTACAAATCAAAATTATTCATTTCCCTTATTGCAGCTCAATCTTAGTTGATAATTCCAACTTTAAAGTTGGCTTTTACCAACTTTAATCTTGGATTTTTTAAATTTACTTTGAGCTTTTCCAACTTCGTGCGTCATAATTATTCATATGTACATTGTAGCTGGACTCGTGTTGCTTTAAAGTTGGATTTATCAATTTTAAAGTTGGAAAAACCAAGATCAAAGCTGGACGTTGAATAAGCCAACTTTAAAGTTAGAATTGCCAACTTTAAAGTTGGAAAAGCCAAATTTAACGTTGGAATTACCAACTTAAACGTTGGAATTATCAATTTCAAAGATGAAAAGTTGGAATTACCAACTTAATACGCTTCCGTAGCATTATATTTCCAAAAATAACCACAGATTGCAACAATAAATATCCTATTGAACTTTGGAGTTTTTCACCCATTTGAGAGAGTTTGTTCGCCAATAAACTTTGGAAACTTAACTCAACCACCCTCTGCTAGAAATAAATGTGAAATGCATGTAAAGGTTTTTTTCATACGATATACCATTGTATTACTGTTAGGTCTGCAAAACCCTCTATGTCAATTGGAATAGTTAACAAATAAGTTTAAAAAATGATTCTCGTTTATTTTCGAGTTTATATTACAATGCATGAATAAAAAATTTATTTTGTTTCATTTGGTTATTTTCGTTTTCGTTTTGATTTGGTTCTGTTTTGATTCTATTTCATCTTGCGCTCAAACTGATACATATTTCCGTTTGCCGCTGAAATATAAATTATTTTCATTTTGTACATGCATTTGCCCTTACCTGTTTCCCCATTATTTTTAAACGTACCGACGGTTTACCTTAGTTTGTTCATTACAGGTAAGAGGTGCACAAACAAGCATCGTGACTTCAATGCAAGTTGTTCATTCAGATTTTTTTATTCGAAAATCAGTCAAGCGAAACCTTTCTAATGTGGACGGGGTTTTCTTCAGACGAATCTCCCAATTCAACTTTATTGCACTAGGTTTATATATATATGGGACCTGCAAGGAGCACTTACTTTAAAATCTCCTGATTATTTATTGGTATACAATTATTAGGTACCTTCATACACTGGGAAATTGTCGGAGATGGAAAACCCAGCATTCTCTGGTAAGTATTTGCAGTTAGGTTATGTCATGCGTAAAATTTTATACACCATTATCAGAATTGAACATGATCGATGTCTTTCTTGTCTGAAGTAACATATAAATGAATTTGTAAATAGGTTAAAATTAACAATTGACAGGGGCTCTGAAAACATTCCTGCATAATTTGTAATTAAAATCGTTGTAAAAAGACGCATAATATATTATTAAGTATCGTGAAATTAAGAAATTAACGCATTAAATGGGCAATTCATATCATTTACGGATCATCTGAATAGCAGTGCTGTTCATAAAGATCCATGTATGTTTTAGAGTTGGCTTTGAAAGCTATTTAAACAGTACATAACTAATCATAAATTTAAACTGAAACTCGCATTTTTAAGGGTTGATAACAAGATAAGATTTTGCGAGTTTCTGTGCACAATATTATATTATAAGATGTATTCGTGTACTTACGAATGGATTGTTAGTTAACCTGTTCCTTCGACGTGACTATGTATAATAAATGACCTTTACTTACTATAAAGCAGACATCTTTTCTTACAATACTTTATATTGCCGTCCGCTAAACTTGATGGACTTTTAAACAATACTCGCCACATTTTACTCAAGATTCCAGTCGTGTTTATATTCACACATTCCAAATATCCAGTAACACATGACTGATTTTATTAGTTTAGCTATTGACATGATCCTAGACCCAATCACTAGAACTTGACCGTTGACTGAATTCAGTATAAATGAAAGGCTAAATTAATCAAAGTACTTAAAGGAATGGAGAAGGTGCAAGTCACATAATTTATCTTTCCAGAGAGCAAAAAAAATATTTGCTTATCCTTAATACACCTCAATATCTACAATATTTCGTTTTTGCTCACTTGAGCTGTAAGCTCCTAAGCTTTTCTGAACTTTTTTTGTCCGGCGTTCGTTCAACAGTCTGTCTGTCGACCTGTAAACTTTTGAAATTTTTGACTTCTAAAGAATCCATGGGCCAATTTCAACCAAATTTGCCACAAAGAATCCCTGTGTTTAAGGGGATTCCCGCATATTTAAATGATGGGATGACCATGCTTTATTCAAATTAATGGCCACACCAGGCGCGGATCAAGGAATTAAAGTTAGTGGCGCTAAAAGTAGACAGGAGGTCTGGGCCTTGAGGCCCCCAGTGGATCCAGGGCGAATTCCCGGTGGGGATTCTAGAGATTTTGTAGGGTAAAAATAAGGTCTACCGAATAGAGATTTTTTTTCATTTCTCAACGAAACTATGATTTACGCTAACTTTGACGATTTAAGGGGGGGGGGATTTCCCCCCCCCCCCTTAAATCCGCCATTGCACACTCTCATTCAAGGAGAGAAAATTAAGAAATGATAAAATTTGGAGGGGACATTAAAAGATCTTTTTCTCAAGAACCACTGGACCAGAAAAGACAAAAAGCTTGCAGTCACAATGTAAATTTAAGTTTGTTTGGTTTTTTTAAATCATGACTCCGTAGAGTAAGGTTTTACATGGAATATATGGTAAAATGTTTAAAAATCTCAAGAACAACAGGATTAGTAATATGACGAGGCAATCAATCATCCTTCGGAAGTGCAGATAAAGGTTTGTTCAAATAATGGCCTCATGAGGTTGTAGGGTTGGACCATATACATGTATATAGGAAAAATGTTCGAAAATTTCGTCAAGAACAGCAAACATGTAATACTGAGATGTAACAATTCTAAGATAGTGCAAATACAAGTTTGTTCAAGTCATGGCCACTTGTGTAGAGTTGGTCAGCAATAGGGGATCAAAGTTTAACATTGGAGTATAAAGGGGAAACAAGTTTTAAAAGCTTCTTCTGAAGATTAGCAGGGCCATGATCAGTGAAATGAATATGCAAGCACCCCAGGGTACTGCAATGATATATTTTCAAGTTTGTTCACATCATGGCCCCCGGGGTTAGGATGGAGGCACAATAGAGAATAAAAGTTTTATGCAGGCAATATACAATTTTAATGAGTAATCATAAAAGAGCCAAAATTAAGGTACATTATCATCGAATGGAAAAGATAATATCATCAAGTTTTAACAGAGCTTAATTAAACAGCAAACGGAAGGTCATTGTGATGTTCTCGTAAAAGGTGATTGTTTGGAAAATAGGGTTTCTTGTTTAGCATCATTAAGAAATAATGCTCAAAATTTCCAGTTAATCAGGAAAATGATTACTGAAGCTAACTTCTACTTTAATTCAGAATACACGCTTTTAGGGGTCAGGAATTATATTATTATTGTAAAATATTAGTGAGGACATTCCATAGTTCCCCGGAATAATTGAATGGTCCTTTCTTTTTTGGCTGTTTCAGAAAATAAAGCAAGCTCAATAAATTCCGCAAACTATCTGAACATAGTTTTAAAAAAAGAAGTTTATTTCTCGTTTGTAAGAGAAGGGCTGGATGTCTTAATGGACACTTCATTTTGTTTCGCAAAAATAAACACCTTCCTCAGATTTGAATCCCATAGACCTTTTATTTTGGAATCAATTTTAGGATAGAATTTCCATCCCTGTTCCCTCAACAAAAGAACTGAAAACAACAATGAAGTGAAAAATAAAACTCATTTCGGCACTAACACTGAAATCTGTGGCCAGGATTAGAAAGTACCGTGAACATGAACTGTTCACCAAAACGTCAGAATGAACATTCGGAGCTTCTGACGTATCGATTTTTTGATTTTGTCTGTATTTTTTCTTGGATAATTGTTTAATCTGGAAACAATTTCGTGTGTTAAATTATTGAAGATAGTGTGAAAAATAAAATTTGTTTCAGAAATTGAAATATTTGCAATATTATGAAGCACCTTGTATATCATTTTACTGTGAAGAGAAAAGTAATTATATCTCATAGCAGAATAATAAATGTTTAAGCCATCAATATTTTCCCTTTTTATAAAAATTCAGTTTTCTCTTTTGTTTTGTTTTCAAAGCTTTGATCAAAATGTAAAACTGGACAAGAAACAATGCATTCATCCCTTCTGTATCTAAATGCATTCCCTTATTTTTCTCATAACCACACAATCATTTCTCCACAGCAAAGATTTAGAAAGAAGAACAATTTTAGCATTCGTAAAATACGATGACAAGATCAAAATGTACATGAATTTTGGATCCAGAACAATACATGTAATTTGCAAGATTGAAGGTGAAATGTAAATTTGCTTATAATTTTTAATTTTTTTTCTATTATGCCATTTACATCCTCATCGTTAGCCATTAAAATTTATCATTAAGTCAAAGGTTGACTGACGTTTTTCATACTAATTATTAGGCCATTATTTACACACTGAATTGTCGACGAATTTTACCGTTATTTCCCGATCATGACAAGGAGCACCTGTCAGGGGATGCTCACTCCTCCATGGCATCTGATCCCAACTTTGATGTTTTAGAGGTCCATGTTTGCTCTGCTCCTAAATTTGTATTGTTTAATTGACTTCTGAGCTTAAATACTGTTCGTTATCTTCATATACTTCATAATCCTATCAACGAAACTATCAAATTAAAATAAACATATACTAGACCTAAATGTATGTATTGAACATAGAATACTAGGAACCATGGGGTACCAACATTTTTTACCTCATGACCTCTACCTTTGAGTTTGACCTACATGTACAAACTTAAACATGAACGGTTGGAACTAGGGATTTCATATTTCACTTATGTATTCCTTTTGACAGGGTCTTTCCTTGGGTACCAAACTTTTTGACCTGATGACCTTCATATTGGAGTATGATCTAATTTTGAAAACCTTACACCTTGGTCATATTTTCTGAATGGTCGGTGTTAGGGCTTTAACGTATCACTTGCGTATTCCTTCCGACAAAATCTCTCTGTTTATCACCATTTTTGAACTATTTACATTGACATTTGACCTACATTTGAAAAAAAAAACTTTTACTTTGGCCTTGAGCTGTCATACGGGGGCATCAGTGTTTCACAATACATCTTGTATTTATTTATTTATTTATTTATTTATTTATTTCGTTGGTGCTTGTATTGGTGTTTTAAAGTAGAACTACAGACAGAGGATATATCACTGTCGCCAATTTTTTGAACGTTTTTTAAATGCAAGACAGAATACATGTTAATGTCACCTGAGTACCCAGGTAGATATCAAATAAATTGTCTCTGACATTGTTCAAGGGCATGAAGAGTGATTGTTTGTTAACAAAGGACTGTGCGATAAATGCATGTTTTGCATTTTTTACATTTTGACAGTCTGTCATTTATTATACCTTGGTCTTACCTTTCCAACTATGAGAAAAAAGTTTATATTCATTTACAGAGACTCTTTTTAAACTGGAAAGCAATCTCAATTTGGCATATTCACTATTATTTTGAACATACTGCTGAAAATCACAGGGAAAATAAACAGTATGAAATGAAAAGAAGCGGAACAAAAACATACATCTACTATACGAGTATTATACTGTGAGAAATAGAAAAAAATCTCTAAGGGCTATCATTTTGTTAAATGATGCTACACTAGGGTAATGCCAATAGACAACCACTTTGCCAAGAACATATTTTTAATCTGATGATAATATTTAGTAGAAACAGAAAAATGCTGTTTTGATCTGGAGGGTTTTTTTGGGGTGTTTTATTAGAGGTCATATCGATTGCAAAACACAGAAAAAATAATCTTAGCTTCTCTAAGTTTGTTAAAATTTCTAAAATTGTACATGTGCAAACAGAGTTTGTGTCATGTCAAAAATTTTGAATTACCTGAATAAGTATTAATGAAACAATAAAGATAATTACATACAAATAAGATTTGGCAGGTTTTGAAAATTTATATAATTTTTTATTTTGCATTATGCTTTACACCCACTAAGGTATACAAAAAACATACATGTATCATTAGTGTAGTATCTTTTTTTATATTGGATCTCATTCTGGTTTTACTGGACGAGAGAAAATGGCCATGAAATATATTTGATTTTAAAAAAATCTTTAAACACCAGAAAAGAAACCTTGCTTACTATTAGTAATTTATGGTGAGCTGCATTTGACAAGTAAGATATGAAATTAGTAGGCTTTTATTTCGAGAAAATTGATCTTTTTACAATTTCATTTTTAATCACAAAGCTTTGGTATTAAATGACACTTCTTTTTTTTCTTTAATTGAAATCACGTTGACTTATGTTGTAATCAAACCTTATCTGGAATCTTATAAACCTGATTAATCAGTTTCGGGATATCCTGGAAAAAAAGATGAAAATTTAAGTTGACAATATGATTACATTATCACAACTTTCACTTTTCAATGTTGACCTCCAGCTATAGATTCCAATATTTCAACAGAATAAGGTCAAAACTAAAGAACTGACAAACTTAAGTTTATGAAAAACTATTGTTTATATTCAATTCGAGTCGATTATGATTAAATAACATTTGCATAGAATTAAATGTACCAAATAAGTAAACTTTTTAAGAAGTATTGCTTCTTACGTGTAATTACATGTATGTATATCCATACTGGATGATGATAACATAAAAATATTTCCAAAGAAATCGTTGTGGAGTTAATGCAGGAGCAACATATATTTAATAATTATAATTAAATATTTAACAAAATGTCTGTCTTCCAGGACAGATTATATTTGATGAAAACAAATTATTTTTTGTATAAAATATAATGTATCTTTATCATTTATTAAAACAATGATGGTAAAACATTTTTTTTGGCAGAGAGAGATGGAATGGAACTTAAACAAAGAGAGACGAACAGTGAAGAACAAGGTCCGAATGTAAAAGTAGATGTTCAGGCGATCAAACTTAAGCGGAGTCTGGGCCTCATCAGTGGTACCTCGATCATTGTAGGAACTATCATAGGTGAGAGAGAGAGAGAGAGAGAGAGAGAGAGAGAGAGAGTTGGTGTGTGTGAGGGTGGGTGGGTGTGAGAGATCATGATCTTTTTTTTTTTTTTTTTTGATTAACATACATATTGAATGGATATATTTGGGAGTAAAAAAATATATAAATAATATTGAAAGGTGTAAATTATAAAGTCAATAACCCTTTGTTTATCATTATTTACTCTAAATATGGTCACTTACATGTAAACATTATTTACATTTTCTCAACCTTTGAATCGTTGTAGGATCAGGAATTTTCATTTCTCCTAAAGGGGTGCTCCAGGAGACAGGATCGGTGGGACTCAGTCTAATAGTATGGACAGCAGGAGGTCTTTTGTCACTAATGGGTAATATTATTTATATTGAGTTCTAAGTTTTTGCCTAGGTGAGTTTGCACACGTTTGGTAATGAAATCGCGGGCACTCTTTTCATTTATAAAGATTCACCCCAATAGCATATTGATAACTCCAAATACATGAAGAACTAAATTTCCAGACATTTCAGACATTTTTCACTTTCAGGAAAAACAAACACAAAAGTTTCTCTCTTTACAATTATTTAGTTACAAAACAGTGTGTGGTACATTTGCCTTTATTGTCATTTATCTAAAAAAAAAAAAAACAGTGTCCAAACACTGCTCGCCGACTGGAAATAATTTTCAAACCACTGTATGCTATGTACCAATAAAGGCCCAGGGACCAAGATATGAACAAAGTTGAATCCTCAACGCATTGCAGTGCTTAAATATTAACATAATTGTAACCCATCTGTTCTTGAGGAGAGTTTTAAAGAATTTTCCTATCTATTCCTACGTTTAAATATGACCCACTTATTGTAGTCTAAAACAGTCGTTTTGTCTGTTTTAGAGCATATTGGGAAGGGTTTTAAATGACCTCAACCTTTTCTGCTTTCATTGATTTACTCGCTCGCAAGGGAGTGTGGCCTCTCATTTGAACATACATGTATTCTCTTTACTCAAGAATACACTGTTACAGGTTTGTCTGAAATTGACCTTTTTGGAGAAGTAGTGAAAAATCTGAAAAGGTTGACAGACAACAGATGACAGACAAATGCAACCACTCTTAGATCATCGGGGCACCACCATCAAATCAAGCGTGTCTCTGGAAGAAATTTCCTTTAAACTAATGCATATACTAGAATCATGTACGATAATTCATGGAATTCGTGACAGTTAAATTCCCGAAACAGCTGTGTTACAGTGGAAACCAATATCAGTTGTTGGTGATATACTTGATATTTAAAACTACGTAAAACGGGTGAATCCATCGGTGTGCACTTAAATAAGCCTGATTTACAGGCTATCCGATATATGACTGGCCAAAAAAAATCTTTGTAACATGATATAAAACTACGGTTTGATATGTTGAAAACTGTAATTATTGAGATAAGTTTGATGCTTCGAAGGTTTTACTAAGTCGGCAAAGAAATGTCAGCAGGTTTTTGTTCGATGAGTTGACTAAGCATGGCTTTGCTGTTCCCGGGAAAAGATTTTTGAATATTTTTCCTATCTATTTCTGTGTAAAACTTTGATCGCTTATTGTGGACCCTCTCTACCCGCAGGGAGTCATCATTTGGACAAACTTGGTGTTACACTAGGTCAAAAATCTTTCACATACTGTTCATCTTGTCTAGCCCAGGGATTCTTGAGGAGAAGATTTTTTTAAATGGCCCAACTCAATTTTCACTATATTTTTTAAATTATTTTCCTTTCGAAGAGGAATTTGCCCTTCATTTGAACAAACCTAACTTCCCTTCACCTAAGGATAGAGTTTGTTAAGTTTGGTTTAAATTGGTCCGTTGGGTTTGGAATATATACATTTCCAAATGTTTTCTCTGTGATAACTCTTTGAGAGTTAATAGTGTTAATATCTCAATATTTACAAATGAATGTAAATTTTGCCAAGTGAAAGGTCAAGTGGCTTTTCCCCGGACTGTCATAGTGTCTGACGTAGGCGGGGACAATGGAAATTAGCATGGAATGCTTCGTGTATTTCAGTTCTCTTAGACAGTATATTTTATGTTTTTATATGTATGAAATAATAATATAAATATAAAACAAAAATGCTGTCTATTAGAACTGAAGTACAAGAAGTTTTCCAGTTAAGTCCAGTTAATTTCCATAGTCTGTGACAACTGTGATTTCTATTAGTATGATATACATAGTAAGTGCATTCAAGTTTTTGTTCTACTAACTAGGGGTGCCAAAGCTGAAGTTGCTAATGGCCATTTGTATGTATTAAAGATCTAGTGATACTTTATATTTATCTAATCTTCAGTTATCATTTTAAGTGTATGGAGGCGTCAGTATTAAATCTTCATAAAACTGCTTTCCGGTGGTCCGTAACATCATCAAATGTAGCCATTTTTTATCTGTTGTGTGTACCATTTTCTATTTCAAATGATCGGGAAACGGGAAATGAGGCAAATGTATGACAATTCTCAAAATGTCGACATAGTACACAATTAGACAATTAGTAGACAATTACTTAAAATATGACAATTTTTACCGCACCCTGACCTAGTTACTACTTTAAATTCAAATTATTACTAGCATATTCTTTTAAAAAAAACCTGACATTTAGTCGTGCTCAGTACGTGTAAGACCATCCCTAACAAAAAAGTACTATAGTTAACTATAGTTTACTATAGTTAACTATAGTTTACTATAGTAAATCAAAGTATTTTTACTATGGATTTCAGACCGTTATATTTTTTGTTTTTCAATTCATACATGCACATTTTCTATATTAAATTGAAATATTATTTGTATATTCACAGATTATTTCCAAATTTTACATTACTGCTTTTGAATTTTAGAGATTTTAAGCTTTGAAATCTAAAAAAAAAATTCCAGAGTAAAGTTTCATAGTAAATCAAAGTACCAAAGTTTTCACTATAGTAAACTATAGTTAACTATAGTTAACTTTAGTAAATTTTTGTTAGGGATACTCTGTTCATATTGGAGTACAGCCCCGCGTACTTTTTAAGCTCACATGGTTTTTCGCACAAATTAAGGTCACATATTACAATAATAATAATTCACAATATCGAACAAAAGTACGACAAATTAACCCTGAGATGCATTTGCAAAGGTACTTGCACTTTTATAAGGATATTCAATGACCGTGTAAAGTAGGGCAGCGCCGCGAGAATTCCATCGGCATCGAAAGCAAGTTTTTTGACTTGCCTAGATGTCCGAGCGATCTAGCGCGCTGTTCCTGTACTGTCGTTCTACTAGGAGACAGATTCCGTAGGTCGAGAGTTCAACGCTGGACTGGGGCGGAAGTGGGTATCCTTATCAAAAGTGAATTTCTTTGTGCTTTATATATATATATATATGTCTCGATACATAATATCACATTGTAACAATGTGACTTTAATTTATGCGAAAAAAACCATGTGAGCTTAAAAAGTGCGCGGAGCTGTATAATAAAATCTTTAATCTCCTCTATATTTTTCCAGAATATTTAAGATGTACTCAAATAAGATAGCTTAATGTTTTATTAAATTTATAATATATGTAGGTTTTTTCTTTCTCATGCTGAGCTTGGAACTCTGATTACTAAGTCACGAGGGGAAGGAAATGCTAATAAGCAGACAGATATTAATTGCAAAGAACTACCAAGTTGTTGTTAATTAATGATTATATTAATAAGGTTTTTATGATTTCCTCCATGATAAAAGAAATGCAGACATATTTTTCACACATTGTTTTCAAACTAGGTAGATTAGTTGGCTGTATTTAGAATGAGCATTGTAATATGGGATGAACGGACGTAAACATCATTAGCACATATGTAGAGGATATTTTCGTTATGAAATGATTAGTTATAAGTATTTACTGTTTTCATCAACATTTTTGTGAAAAAAATTTGATAAACATGTTTTCTATGCTTAAATTTCTAATCTTTAGGTTCTCTCTCTTATGCTGAGCTTGGAACTCTGATAACAAAATCAGGAGGGGAATACCCTTACATGATGGAAGCTATGGGAAGAGTAGTGGCTTACCTGTTCGCATGGACCAAGATCATTGTACTCACCCCATCCTCCATGGCCATCATTTGTCTGACCTTTGCTGAGTACTTCATTACTTTGTTTGACTTTTGTGGAGAGCCACAAATACCGAAGAAACTTGTCGCTGCGCTTGCTATGAGTAAGATATGGAATTTAGAAAAGGTTATTTACAAAACAAATGTAAAAAAAAAACAATATATGTACCAAAATGGTGCACAAACCGCCATAAAGCAATGATAGATGCTATTGGCAGCATGTGAGTTGCTGCACTATTTTGATATAAAACAAAACGACTGTACCTATAAATGTCATTATGTACTTTGCAGGTTGGTGGATGATTAGTTTTTTGTAGAAATACACTTTTCAAATATGTTTTCTCTGAATTAAAGTACATATGTTTTCTCAATATCGGATGGTACCTAAAACCTGTGTAAATTTACACTTCACGATGTCTACCAGCATTTTATGTCTATATATATATATATATATATATATATATATATATATATATATATATATATATATATATATATATCAATGTTATGTAGAAATAATGTTATATGTACAGTGTTGCAAATTTATATTTATATAATCCCTGAAAGAGGTTTTGATTCATAAATACATTGTTTCTAATCACTTTGCAGTTACTCTGGCAATAGTAAATTGCTGGGATACCAAACTTGCAGCCAGTGTACAGGTCTTTTTCACTGCGGCTAAGCTAATAGCTCTCTTTATCATCGTCATCGGAGGTCTGGTGTGGCTAGGGAAAGGTAATGCCGGAACATTTCTGTCCAGTTATTTTTATTATCTGATGATTTTATTGTGCATCAATTATATTTTGTTTTTACACATTAGGAGAGATTGAGACACTGCAGACAGGATTCGACGGCTCCACTAATTCTCCCTCAGCAGTGGCTCTTGCTTTTTACGATGCTCTCTGGGCTTATGACGGATGGTAATACCTCTTAATATAAGATAACATTTAGTAGGATATATAAAATTCTGAAAAAACGAAGTTTACATGTTCCTTCACAATGCCGAAAAGCTGCATTTACATTATTTTTATTCCTAGACATGTAGATTTAGAAGATTCTCTTGCTAAGAGTGTATGAGAACTTTTTCGTGGTACGAGGTGTATAAACTTAATGATCTGGTAAATCTTGTTTTTGTTAAAGAGGAAGCTAAATATTGTCAAACTACTGTTATAACTTTTTTTTGATCACATTTTGTTTTTATATTTCAGGGTATTGCTTAAACAAAATAACATTACATTTATTGTTCGTTATCTTCATATTTCATGCAAAATACTGTGGGACTATGGAGTCAATTTTAAATTCTTTTGTTCACAATGGCTTCCTATATCATTCTTTCATTTATAATTAATATTATTTTCAAAAAAATATTTTTCTTTGTAGGAATAATTTAAATTATATTACAGAGGAGTTGAAAAATCCATATGTGTAAGTAAGATTAATTTTAATATGTTTTACAAACATTTGTTCGCTAACTCTTATTTTTTAAATATTGTCGAAGAACATACAACAATTATGTCTATGATGTTGATTACTTGTTTACGAGTGCATAACAGTCAATGGCAGTTATACTAGAAGTCAATTAATTAACTTAAGAAACTAAATGAAAATTAATGGAATTAAAGAATGCATACAATCGCTAATCCCCCAAAAGGCTACTTGCTAAAGGTACATGCATTACCACGCACAGAGTTTGGTAGTTATAAAGCAATACATGTATAATGTTTATTGGAATCGGCTTTCTATTACAGAAGAAACAAATGCTTAGAGGTCCACTAGAACAAATATTAATCAGTATAAATGTGTTGGTTTCTTTTTCTGATATATCCCCTGGATTCACCTCATACCCTATTTTTAACCTTTGATGATAAATTGTTTTGAATTAATATGTAGTCAACCGAATGTTTAGCAAAGCTGAATATTTGCATGTAATTGATATACAATGTGCATATGGGTGAATTAAAAAAAAATGATCACCAAACTGAATTTTTTTGGAAAAATTCAGCTACTTCTAACATATTTTTCACTTGTATCATCATATTGCACATGCATTCTAGTTTAAAATCCTGAAGTGGCAATAGAATAGACAATTGGATTAAAAAGTTTCAGAATTTTTATTAGTAAAATTTCTTTTGAAAAAAGAAAATATCATTACACCTTAAAAGACTTTCTTAAATACATAATCACAAGAAATTATAGTTTTTTATGCTTCAAAATGGTAAAAAGGGTATAAATGATCAAATCTAGACCTTGATTGAGTATCTTCTCTTGTATGTGTGACAAAAAATTGGCTTTTTGATTGTTATTTTACATTATTTTTTCAATTCTGGTTTGAAAAGTTTTAATAAGAAAAAAATATGAAGCAATAAAATTCCCCAAATTTCACTTTTTTGTCCGTTCAAGCCAATTCTTTAAATCTAAGCCAAAAAAGAATTTTTATATACGAGTTCTCTTACAAAAAATACTAGATTTTGAAGTAACCCTATGTTACATTACTGTGTTGCACTCCTGACATCTGATATGTATTTTATTTAACATTGTTTTAAAAATTATTACACACAATAAACCATTCTTTCTTTGTAAATTAATTTGTCGTTTTGATATTTTTCATCGTTTACGGCATGTTTTTCATATTTTGAAGACCTTAACACATGATTATTTGCAAAGTGTAATATACATAAATTGTATATAAAACTATATGTGAAATGATGAAAACTATTCCCTGAATTGACTAGAAAATTTCTGTAATTTGTTGATAGACATAGTGTTTTGAACATCAAATAGTATCAAACATTTTTTTCAACTCATTTTTTTAGTAAAGATAATTAAAAAGCATTGGTAATTATAAAGCAGTTTTGTTGCACTCCTGACTGCAGTAAAATTTAAAATTAAAATCGTAGAACACAAAAATTCATAAAGTGTTGGCAACATGAAGTGGTAATGAAATTGTGCAATATTTATAGTCCAATACTTCAAAATCAAAACAGATGGAAGTATTCGCATTTTATCTGGAATTATTCCCTATTTATGCCAAAAAACTAGCTTAAATGTACATTTAGAAGATAAAATATATTTTATAGCATATTTTCCTTTAGAGGACAAACACAGTAACCCACCAGAAAAATTCTATTCATCATTTTTTATTTTTATTCTTATTGGAGGATTTATAATTCTAACATATTTGTTGCACTCCTGACCAAAAGTATTGGGACCTTTAAAGTAGAATTGTGAAGTGAAAATTACATAAGAACTTGTTCTGTTGTTTCAGTGAAGTTGAGGAGGAATTACTTGAATTTTATGACAATGTTTTAGTGTGTTTATTTTTAACATTCATTAAAAAAAATCACAAAAAAGATAAAAACACATCTGAATTGATAAAATTGAAAAAGGAAGGATTTTAATAATAAAACTGTCAATAATTTAGTATTAAATTATACAAAAAGATCATTATTAATTAATGAATACGTCTAAGCATCAATAGAAGTGTTTTTGTCACACAACTTGAATCTTTAAAAAAATGTGTTGCACTCCTGACCATAGAAATATTGATCTGAAGAGCACAGACAGATCCTGTAATTGATAAATCTATTTGGTAAAAATGTTCTTTGTGTCTTTCTTTTCCAAAATAAAAATCAGAAAATCATATAAAGATAATAGTTTTTTCATGCTTGGGAGCAAAACATCAAATGTTGCACTCCTGACATTATTGGGTGTGCACATATACTTGACTCTAATTAATGCTGCTTGTGATTTATATAACATTTTTAAGTTTTAAAATGTCTATCAGTTATTGTTTTACACTTCGATAATTCTTTTTTGTCTTAATTTTCTTTCAGAATTTTACAATTGATGTTTTTTTGGCAACACTACATTTTTTCTGTTGCACTCCTGACATGGTATGACATTTTTTTAAACATCAGCCATGACAACAACTTGATTAAACAAAAGTTACTACAGCCCACATTTAAAGCTCAATACTTTGAATATTATCAGGAAAGTCTTTATTTTCAACATAAAGCATTATTATTTATTTCACAGATCTCCAAAAAATATTGAAATTTCAAAATGTCACAAAAAGGTGTTGCACTCCTGACAATTTTAGCATCATTTTTGGGCATAACTTTTTTGTTAATTGAGATCTGAACGAGATATTTGGCAGGTATTTAGACACTATCTAAAGACATATGCTGAGACATAGAAATCTATTTTCATTGACTGTATTTTTAGTGTGGGTTGATAAATATGCATTTGGTCATTTTTTTTTAATTCACCCATATGAACCAAGGTTCCGTTTTGCAAAATGGTTTACCATACATATATAAAGCTACATATTAAATGATTCAGTAGGGATTAATAGGATAGGTAAGGCTTCAGCATTTAACTTTGATAAAATATATAGAGGATATTCAATGTTTTGTAGATGAATATGGTATTTATTTCACAAGTAGGACAGGATTTTTTTTATATTTTCACGAGTGCGAAGCACGAGTGAAAATATAAAAAAAATCCTGTCTCACGAGTGAAATAAATTCCATTTTCATCTACAAAACATTGAATTTTCTGTTTTTTGCATTTTCTTAGATTTTCCCTTTGCCTCTGTCTTTTCGTAACACAATGTCATAGGCTGTGACGTCATAGTTGAGCGGTGGAGACGTCATAGCTAAGTGATTGCGAGATTGAAAAACGTTGTAAACATGGATTTTTATCGACATATTTGGAAAAACTTTGGCAGTATAACTATTAGTCTCTGTCAGAATGGCTCATTAACTCTATCTTGTAACAGACCAGGGATTTAAAAAAAAACTCTTAATGAAGGGAAGGAAAATAAGTTTCGCCGCACTTCTGATATTTTCACACTGTGAGAATACCATTTTGATATACTTTCACACTGTGTCAGAATATCACTTTTATTCAGTAAAAAAAATTACAGTATTTCACTGTTGAAAATGTAATAAAAACAGGTTTTTTCATTACATCTTAAGTACAGGTTTTCTACGATATCCTTTGTTATCTTAATATTTGCCAAACAACATCCACCAAGCCTTAAAAATTTTTACTAAGATTTAATAAAGCCAGAAGGAAAAGAAGGTAACTCGATCGAATTTTTTAAAATCTCATTCTAGCATTATCATACATGTATGAGGTGTATTCTTTGAATCGCTTCAAAAATTATTTCAAAAAGTATTACCACCGTATACATGCACCAAATGTGAAAGGAGACTCTGTGAGTGTTCTTGTCATATAACTAGCAAATACTATCCTAGAGACACTAATGTTTTTGACTACAGCTGGACATCTAACCAATATAATAACCACAGTTTAAACGTGTATTTTGATTTTTGACATGTTTTAGCTCACATGAGCTGAATGCTTAAGTGAGGTTTCTGATCACATTTTGTTCTCTCACCTGTCTGTTTAGCTGTCCGTCTGTCTGTAAACTTTTCACATTTTCGACTTCTTTTCAAGAACAATGGGCCAATTTCAACCAAATTTCACACAAGTTATCCTTGGATGAAGGGGATTCAAGTTTGTTCAAATGAAGGGTCACGCCCTCTTTTAAGGGAAGATAATCAGGAATAAGTGAAAAAATCGGAGGCATCTCTGTAAAATCTTCTTCTCAAGAACCAATGGGCCAGAAAAGTTGAAACTTATGTGAAACCTTCATAGTGTATATTTAAGTTTCTTCAAATCATGACCCCAGAGGGTAGAGTGGGGCCACAATGGGGGATCAAAGTTTTATATAGGTATGTATAGAAAAAAAATCTTTAAAAATCTTTTTCTCAAGAACATCAAAGCCATAAATACTTATAATGATATGGAAGTATCCTCAGGTAGTGTAGATTAAGTTTATTTAAATCATGACAACCCCCCCCCCGTGGGGCCACAATGGGGGATAAAATTTTACATGGGAACTTATAGGAAAAAAATCTTTAAAGATCCCCTCAAGATCAGGAAAGCTATAATTAGTCATACTGATATGGAAGCATCCTCAGGTAGCGTAGGTTAAAGTTCAAATCATGACTCACGGGGGTAGGGTGAGACCACAAATGGGGGATCAAAGTTTTAAATAGGAATATAAAGAAAAAAAATCTTTACAAACCTTCTTCTTAAGAACAGCAAAGCCATGATTAGTCATACTGATATGAAGCATCCTCAGGTAGTATAGATTCAAATTTGTTCAAATCATGTCCCCTGGGGATAGGGTGGGGCCATAATGGGGGATCAAATTTTTACACAAGAATATATAGGAAAAATCTGCTGATGAAGAAGAAGAGAGCCATATTGTTGTAAGCGTTGCCCATGGGCCACTTGTTTACAGGAACCTACCTCGTTTTACATAGGAATATAAAGAAAAAAAATCTTTACAAATCTTCTTCTTAAGAACAGCAAAGCCATGATTAGTCATACTGATATGAAGCATCCTCAGGTAGTATAGATTCAAATTTGTTCAAATCATGTCCCCTGGGGATAGGGTGGGGTCATAATGGGGGATCAAATTTTTACACAAGAATATATAGGAAAAATCTGCTGATGAAGAAGAACAGAACCATATTGTTGTAAGCGTTGCCCATGAGCCACTTGTTTACAGGAACCTACCTCGTGCTAACACTATAGGAGTACTTCTGGTGACAGTCATTTATGTCTTGGCTAATATTTCCTACCTCGCTGTACTTGGGAAAAATGGTCTTCTTAACTCAAGTGCTGTGGCTGTGGTGAGTCATTTTCTCTTATTAAATGATTTTTGTTTCATTTTAATAAAATACTACACGATGACTATTTCAAAATTACGATTTCTATGTGCTGTTGTGCTAAAGGATTTAGACTAAATTTAGTTCATTTCATTAAATCGTGCCTTTATACTAATGCAAAGCTAGTAAAAAGAAGGTTCTGCAGCTCTTTCTTTGCAGTCTTGATTCGTAAACTGCTGTAAGGCTTGTTACTCTAGCAGCGGGAAAGTTTCAGTCCGGTACATTTTTCGAGATGTTGATAGAAGAAAAGGCACTACACTTCTATCCTGTAGCATTAGTAAAATTATTTTATTCCGTTTTGTTGCATTTAAGTAAAGCACGATGTGGTGAATAAAAATTGTTGTGATTAATTTTTCATTTTTTTTTTTTAATTTTTTTTTTTAATATCATCTCTAATGCTTACATGTAACTGTTTTGTATATCATATACATCGTGCTAATCTAAATTCTGATTAAGGATTTATATACATGTAATACTAATTTAGTCCAAGTACCAGGTAGTTGCGTATTTTTATGTAAGTATTTTACGTCAACATTGACAGGAATGGGGCGAAATTGTCATGGGGAAAGATGTTGCCATCATAATGCCCATCTTTGTCATGTTTTCAACATTTGGTGCCGCCAATGGGTCTCTTTTTGCCGGCGTCAGGTAAGATATGTTATCATAACATGTATAAGGTTTTTATAAGGTTTATCAAAATGAACTAATCTGGCCATTGAAATACAATGTATATGTATAAATAAAAGCTTTTTCAGAGATAATTTGTAAAAAGATTGAGCATAAATTAAATAAAATTAATCTGACTGTCAACACTCTAAACTCGGTAAAGTCCATATATTTTAGCTTAATCTGGGATATACTTGAGTATAGTTTTTAATTCAAATTTTAAAATTTTGTTTAATAAATTCATAATTAACCTTATTTAAAAAAAATTGAGTGCCTTATTAAAGTTTGGGAGAAAACAAAACTGTAAAATGTAGAGACCGGGACCAGACTAAACAAACGGAAGATAAATCTTCGAAAACCTTCATTGATGTAGCATGTACTTGTATGCTTACTTGTAGCACAAAAACATGTCATTCATATCTATGTGCAAGGTTCTCAAGCTCAAAATGTATGCATTACAGAACATTGTATGTTGCTGCCCGAGAAAACCAATTTCCCGAAGTTCTGTCATACGTTAGTGCGCGGCGCCTTACTCCAATTCCATGTATCATATTCACGGTAACACTTTACATTATCCAAGGGGCACAATGTCATGAAATTATTTAACATGCTAGCTACATAATGAAGAAATGCAAAAGTATCTTTTCTTAAATTAATTTCAGCTAAAATAATAATAACAAATCTTGTTTTATTTCAGACTGTGATTGCCCTTCTGATGTTAATTCCTGGAGATATTGGAAGCCTGATCGACTTCTTTAGTTTTGCTGCCTGGATGTTTTATGCGTTAGCCATTATATGTCTGATTATATTGAGGTTCAAATGGAAGGACGCTAAAAGACCAATCAAGGTAACCAATGCATTTCTCTGAGTCTAACATAATGTCAGTTAAATATTTAAGACAAAAACGGTTCATGACTTAAATGTTATTTGGACTGATATTTTAATAGATATAAGTATATCATTGCGAATGTTTTACCACAGCTGATGTAGGTAATATCATCTTATTGATGATAAATCTAAGTACAAAAAAGTATTAAAGTTAGAATATAACTTTTTCTTAAGACCGGTTGCAGTAGCTAAGTGGTAGTGCCCGCGCTTTGTACAGGGTTCGATTTTCCTTTCGCGCCACGTCGAACCTAAGATATAAAAACAAGAGGCCCAAGGACCTTAACGGTCATCTGAGTATAATACAACAATTTAGAGGATCCATAGAGTATAAAATGAACTGAAAGGTGAAGCTTTGTTGCCCAAAAGCAAGAAAAATAGGGTGATCAGGATTAACAAAATAATTAGTCTAGTATTCATTAACAGTTCATAAATTAGGTTCTAATCTGTTCCCCATTTATCACTCTCACCAGACAGTATATTAAGAAACTATCATTGCTTCTGTACTCTTTTAATTCCTTGTGGAAATCTCTTACATTGGCCTGAGTAAGACTCTTGGTCTTTGATGAACATTTAAGGTACTGGTATTCCATCCCTAATAGCCTCAGATTCAATGAATTTGAATACATAACAGATGTGTACGGGTGGAATACTCAGTATATTTAGACATAATCTACATTTATTACTATTAGCATGTAAGAATGGAAGTGTCCTAATTTATGACTTGACCTTTGTTGAAGAGTTATCTCCCTCTTTTTTTAAGTAATAAAAATCAATTTTAAAAAAATATACGGTAAAAAAATTGTTTTCAATTGTCATTCTATTTCTAATGATTTAATGGATCTTTCCACCACAGTAGTTATTGATATTCTTATTATCTGAATTTTTATTTAAAAAAAATCGCTTGTCTCCATAGACTTCAATGCAATTTCTATTAATTAAATACTGCTTAGTTAATTACGTTTTTGAAACGTTCACTTGGTAAATCCTTTTCTACTGTAAAGTTCTTTGAATTAATATCAGAGTATTATATACGTGATTGATATTTAAGGATAGAGAATTAGTTCCTATTAGGGATGGAAAACCTTAATAAGACAAGTCTACCTGATCATTAAAACTATGAAAGTACTTTTTGTATTATACAATAAAAATTCTTGCATAATTCTCTTATTCTATTAACCTTTCAAGTACATTATTTACAGTGATTAATTATCACAAGTAAATGGCAAAGGGGAATAACTCCTCTCAGTAGAATACAAATTAATAGAGCCCTGGCCTGGACTAGAACACTTGACCAAATGGTCTTGATGTTCAAAAATCTGGTAAAAATACCCTTCCTTATTAAAACTTTTACCCTTTTTGCCTCTGATATGCCCAGGTGCAGAGAAGATTTTTAAAGCATTAATGCATTTTCACTATATAATAAATAGAGTCCCGCCCTAACATCAGAACCTCTGATCCAGGGGTCATGAAATTCACAAATTTGGAAAAGGCATCCTTGCTTATCATAACCATGTATTTGTTTAAATAATACCCAGAAGTAGAGAAGAAGCTTTTCAAAGAAATAATGCACTTTCACTATATGATCTATATAGCCCCACCCTAGCACCAGAACCCCTGACCCAGGGGCCATGAATTTCACAATTTTGGTAGAGTCACTCTTGCTCATCATAACTATGTATTCGATTTGTTTCAATAATACCAAGGAGTAGAGAAGAAGATTTTCATAGAAATAATGCACTTTCACTATATGATCTATATAGCCCCGCCCTAGCACCAGAACCCCTGACCCTGGGGCTATGAATTTCACAATTTTGGTAGAGTTACTCTTGCTTATCATGACTATGTATTCAATTTGTTTCAATAATACCCAGAAGTAGAGAAGAAGATTTTCAAAGAATTAATGCATTTTCATTATATAATCAAAAGAGCCCCGCCCTAGCACCAGAACCCCTGACCCAGGGGCCATGAATTTCACAATTTTGGTAGAGTCACTCTTGCTTATCATAACTATGTATTCAATTTGTTTCAATAATACCCAGAAGTAGAGAAGAAGCTTTTCAAAGAAATAATGCACTTTCACTATATGATCTATATAGCCCCGCCCTAACACCAGAACCCCTGACCCTGGGGCTATGAATTTCACAATTTTGGTAGAGTCACTCTTGCTTATCATAACTATGTATTCAATTTGTTTCAATAATACCCAGGAGTAGAGAAGAAGATTTTCAAAGAAATAATGCACTTTCACTACTAGTATATGATCTATATAGCCCCGCCCTAGCACCAGAACCCCTGACCCTGGGGCCATGAATTTCACAATTTTGGTAGAGGGCTCAATGCTTATTACAATCATGCCAACAGTTTGACTGCTTGATGTCCAGGAGTAAAGAAGAAGATTTTTAAAGATTGCATTTATTTTGATGGTTTTGGCCCCACCCCTCAGGCCCCAGGGGGGAAGGGGCCACGAATTTCACAATTTTTGTTCCCCTTCACCCATAGATGCTATATGCCAAAATTGGTTGAAATTGGTTCACTGGTTCCAGAGAAGAAGCTGAAAATGTTCAAAAGTTTACGACCGACGGACGACGCACGACGACGGACGAAAAGAGATAGCAATAGGTCCCCTGAGTGACTCAGGTGACCTAAAAAGGTAGTGACTGTTTCTTCACCAAACACCATAACATTACAAGTTATAATCATTGATCTTTCAAATAAGACCTTAAATATCGAATTCATGAAAGTCATGAAAGGCATTAGCACGATTAAGAAACCTCACTGCTCAATGGCCCCGAGTGCCGAGTAAAGATTTAAAATTGAAACTCTTTTCATATGGTAATGTCTCATATGAGTGAAAAATTCTCTCAAGGGAGATCTTGATTTTGTGAAATTTGTGCTGCAACAGTAGTTTTTTTTCTGCAGCTGCTGAGACGTGTTTAAATTTTCAATATTTTATGTTAAAAGTACTATAAAATTCTACATATCATAGTTGTCATTATTTACTTTACATTTATAGATCTTTATCCTGTTTCCGGTTATTTTCTTACTGTGTTCATTGTACTTGGTTGTTGCTCCGATCATACAAGATCCTAGAATAGAGTTCCTCTACGCTTTTCTGTTCATTGTTGGAGGACTCCTGTTGTACATACCATTAGTTCACTTTAAGATTGACAGAGGCTGTTTTGGTAAGTGTAAACAAAGATTAGCTTGCGGAAACAAATACCTGCTTTATATTATATATTAACGTGACTAACGGTGTCACATGACTTTGATTTATGCACAAACTGTTGTTACAGTTTTCGAATTTAAAAATTCCGAATTAATTACTTGTTCATGGTTAACAATCTTGTTTTAGTTAGTTTTAAATTCTCTATATTCTAAAGCTTTAATTCAGGACTAGTAGAGTACGTTTAACATGTTTAAAGCAAAAGGCGTATTCTTTAAGTAAAATGGCATTCTCTTTAAGTAAAATTGATTTTCTCTATAAGTTATGAAGATATTCTCTATAAGTTATGTAGGTGTTCTCTACAAGTAATATTGCTTTAACCATATTTCAATTAATCTATTTTAGGAAACCATTTGATTTGTTATATCCATCATATCAAATGTCGCCACTTAAAACTTCTGTACATATATGTTTTACCTTAATCATTGGGTTTAAACAAAGAACGAACGCCTTTTTTTCTTTTTAGATCCGGTTACGCTGTTCTTTCAACTGTTTATGGAAGTTGGTCCAAGTCCATATGTGCCTGATTATGACTAGCCCAGCTTCAAAAATGTTTAATTTGATTCAACAGTATTCTGAAAACGATGAAATCCAGTATTCAAGTGGAAATGTAAAGCAAAGGGAGAGGCAATTTACATGGATACATTTCATAACCTTTGTTAGAGAAACCTCAAGTTAAATATTTATCTATTTTTAAGAAGCAAAAACGGCGCTTAACTGGAAAGTTAAGCAGTTACATGTGATAAGTTATTGAAAATAAAAATAAGTGAACTCATACGGGGGAAGGGTGTTCAGCCATGATGTAGGTCTACTGTCTCCTTAACCGTTTTTAAAAAGGTAGTTCCATATTTATATAACTTTTTTTAAAATTAAACCAGGTTTAAATTGAATCTTTACTAACTCATATTATCATTTCAACTATCGATTTTTAATTTTATTCTAAAAAAAAAAGAAATCCTTGTTGATACTAATTTTTTCTTCTTCAGTTTTTAGCTTTCTGGGTAGAGTTTAATTTAAAGTTTAAATGATTTTTTGTACTTTCAAAGTCCCCTGATTTGTGTTCACGCTGATGATCCATGTATTTTTTAAATCATAGAATAAATTGAATATAAAATTAAATGACTATTGTACATTCCCAGCCATTAATACCAGTTTAACAGGTGCTTTTATATAAATATTATTTTTTAGATTAGTTAGGTCCATTATAGTACATGCATAATCAAAGAAGGAAAAGCTTTAACTAGTTATTTCATACTATTTACTGTATATTTTACTGATTTACAAAGTATATAATTTGAATTATATTTTATTATATATATATATTTATATATATATTTACAATGTAATACGTCATAAAAATGTTTAAATATAATGGTAAATGTACACTTCTGTTACAGATTAAGAAATCAATTAAATAATTGAATCAAATAAAATATAGGCGAGGTTTGTCCTCCAAACTCCGTTGATTTAGTTCTTTGTATATTTTTATGTAATTTTTATAAGTTTACAGTCATAAACATGACTGGTGTGATCAAATAAAAAAAATGCGCTTGCGGTACTTCTGGATCTTGGGGTTTTCTGTGTTGTCTGTCGTTGTTAAATGTAAAGGCGTCTCAAAGACACATGAAAAAAAAATCGCCCGGTTCTGCGGTGATACACAAGACTGGTAAATACCTTGTATTTAATTTTATTCGTGTTTATCGATTACATATAATACGTGACTATATTGAAGAAGTCAATATATATTTTTATTTTATTTTATTTTTATTTTTATTTTCATTTTTTTTTATTTTTTTATTTTATTTATTTATTTATTTATTTATTTTTTTTTTTTTTGCTTTTTGAATCGGATTTTTTTTTTTTGGGGGGGGGGGGTTATGGACTCCCCCTTCCCCGCTGACTGTGCCTCAAATGGGGTTAAGACTTTCATAATTTACAAAGTTTTGTCTAAGTTTGCCGATGTCGTCCTATATAATATAAGTTTTGTAACAATTATTACAAAGTCTAATAGCAATAATTGACAATTATTCAATCCGAAAATTCACTTGTCAAATTGTGGAAATTGTTTTATTATTTATTTTTGTGTGTGTTCTAATATGTTGTACACAAGTGTACGTAACCATTCAATGTTATTTAATACAAAGTTTAAGTACCCAATAAATATATTCATATACATTGTAAGCTTAGTTTACACGTATCTATAGTAGATACAAATTCTGTTATTGTAAATGCTTATAACACAAGCACGCTAAGAAAGCAATATCAATTTTTTGGGGGGCGACCGGGGGGAGGGGGGTGGTGTCTAAAAAGAAATGTTTTGAAAAGCAAACAAAAATGGCTAAAGACATTATTATTGTCGATGGGCAATATTATATAAGCATTATATTACTACTGTATACTACACATGCTGGTACACTGTAACATTTTTTTTCATTTATACGACTGCATGCTCCCTTCTAGCTTAATCTTACAGGCCTATAAAAATACCAAAATAAATACAAAAGAATGGAAATGCGATATTTTTTCGGATAATAGATGATGACAGATCTAGTGACGTTTATTAATTTTATTAAATTCGATCTTTTTCGCAGGTCTCCTTCCTCATGTATACATATACAATGTATGTACTTGGAATGTACTTGGAATATGTAAATAATTTCTATGTGCACGGGATATGTGTGACATATATATTTATATATAGGAGAGATTAATTACCCACAGTCCAGTGCACGGTCTGTCTCAATTCAACTTGCAATTTCAGCAATTTAAAAACGTAAAAAAAAAAATAATTAATTTATATAAAATATAAATCAAATTCGGAAAAACTTGGAGGAGAAAGCATTAACCTTAAAATAATTATAACAATAATTTTTCAATCCCCCCCCCCAAATTATGACTAGTATTTTTTTTTTTTTTTTTTGTAAGATTTGAATTATTAAATACAAACTATTAAAGGCGATTTTGGATATACTTCGCAGACTTCTAGCAAAAGATATTGAATCCAAATATTTCATTTTTTTTTTACACGTTTTTCCGTAAAAATAATCAATGTTTGTTATGAATTTCATAAGGTTTTATTTGTTAAAATAATGAATATAATTGTAGCGTTTCGTGAATTTATTGCACTTGGGTGTAAAACTTCGCTTGTCTACGGACTCAAAATTCAAATTTAACGATTCGAAGGAATTTCGACATTTGTATAATTACACAAAAAAATCGCCTAATTTCCATCATAGAGTAGAATTATTCTTAAAATAATTACAGTTTGATCTTGATGACGATCAATTTTATTGACAAAAACACCATATCTTTTACAAAGCATAATTACTTCAAATGTTTTATCATGATAAATTTAAAATGTTTTATCATTTCGATTTGCGGCTTTGTAAGTAATTAAAATTATCATACTATAGTATATCAAAAAGAAAACTTTTCGTCTTGTCAAAAAACGTTTCGCATTTTGAAACAATCCTATCAGGTTTTGCGTTTATCCTATCGTGAAGATCGTTTATCAGGTTTATCGTGTTTTGCGTTTATCGTATTTTGCGTTTATCGTGTTTGCGTTTATCGTGTTTTGCGTTTATCCTATCGTGCGTGTATCCTGTCCTATCGTGCGTGTATCCTATCGTATCGTGCGTTTATCCTATCGTATCGTGCGTGTATCCTATCGTATCGTGTATCCTGTAAAGAATAACGATGCGGGTACTGTATGAACAAACCAGCTGAGTTCTTCGTGAAGACATCTTGTCTTGTTAGAGATATTACTGAAGACATCTTACGTTTAATAAAATGTAATACCGTATAAGCAGAATATTTTGCGAGGATTTAATTTTGGCATTATTGGCGAGGGTGCTAAGATCGCTGAAATTGAATATCGCTAAAAAAAATTATTTCGTTTTATTTGTAATAACTTCTTAAGCATTTTATAATCGCTAAAATTACTTCTCGCTAAAAATAAAATACCAATTTTTAAGGACAAATCGCTAAAGAGGGCGTTGCAGTTCTTTTGTTATTTTCCCTTAATGTGTAGCAGATTAAAAGAAGAATTTTAAGTTACTGAAGACGATGTTATGTTTTTACAGGTACAACGGTATATACAGCACAATATAGAACAATATTTGGTAGCCGCATATTGACTTCCAATTTGCCATTAAATGAAGTGTAAATTAGTCTCACAGCAAAATATATCAGATTTTCTATATTTCAAATAGGGAATCCCCGTTGTTCTGAAAAATTGCCTCCTTGAAACAGAATAATTTTGATATATGCACAAAGAGGCAGGAATTTTCTTCGAAACTGCCATTTCCGATTTTTGTTTCAAAGGGGCATAATTTTTAAAAACACAAAAATTGAATAAAAATTATTATCCATATACGAAATGCAGAATGTGTACATAAAATAACGCGAAGATGAATTGTGTCAGAAATGGTCTAGTGGTTATGCTGGTGGGCTCCAAACGAAATTTTTAACCTGAGAATGGGTTCGAATCCTGGAATGGGTCATTTTTACATTTTTTTCTTCACTTTTTTTTAAATATGGAATTGCAATAAAATATATATTTTATGGGAGCGAGGGAAAGAGAGAGTGAGAGATAGGATGTCAAGAAGTTAATGGGTAATATTTTAAACGCATGCAGATTTAAATTGTCTTCCTTGATACTGTGACCTAAAACTAACTACATAATGCTGATATTTTGTTGAAAGGCAATGTCTTGGAAAATAAAGTATTGCTCTAAATAATTTATTTTTTACATACTTTACTCATTTTGCTTCATTTTTAGTGGGCAAAATTTGATTTGAAACAAATGAAATGTCTTGGATGTAGCATAAAAAATGTGATAATGGGACATAGTTTTCTTTATTTAAAAAATATTCACGGACGTTGTCTGCCATATATCTTTCAAAATGTTGTGCAAGGTGCACTGGCCATTGCATGTGCTTTTTAATGTTCACCCTTTCTCGTACAAAACGGCGATAGTGACACATGCATGTAAAAATGAATAAAATAAAAAGGTTAACGTTCACTAAAAGGTCGCCAATCGGTTCCTACGTTAGGAAAAACTATGCATGAAATAAACGTAAAATTTGAAGTGTTTTCCTATATCAAGCTGGAAATACCCGCCGTAAACACAGTCATTTACGTAGCTTTTTCTATATTTAGACATAACTCTTCAGGCGTCCTATGGGTATTTAAATGTCCTTCTCGATATAGGGAATAATCGCGAATTTCTGCAACACCCTCTTTGCGTCTCGCTAAAATTTCCACTTATACGGTATATTATATGCTGTTTTTTGAGGTCAATATGATGGTTTAGCCACCTGAGGAGTACAATATTCGCCCGTAGTGCAAGGTAAATATTGTACATCTATGGTGGTTAAATTATCTTGTTGACTGAATGAAATATGAAGACAACGAACAGTAATCAAGCTCAGAAGTCCATAGGATCAATATAAATTTGGTGCAGAGCAAACATAGGCCTCTGAGAACATCAGAGTTGAGATCAGGTGCCATGGACGAGTAAGGATCCTCACTGGATCGGTCCCACCCACTGTGTGCTCCTTGTCATGATCGGGCAAACGGAAAAAAAATCGTAGACAATTCAGTATGAAAATAATGGCCTAACAATTTGTATGAAAAACCCCAGTCAACATGCTATTTAACGATAGATTGTATTTGCTGATAAACTAATTGTATCGACCAAAGAATTTGCAAAATGTTGACTATAAACTAGACTGTTAATATCCTTGTGTTAACTTATATGTCAATAGCCTGTCTCGTTTTAGAAATTGTTCGTATATAGAGCTTGCACTTACGTATCGAATCAACTGGAAGACATAAACTCCATATGCAGAAGATAATGATATGTTATTACATGAATAAGGGAAGTTGAAATTGAAAAGTTAAAGCCATCAAGTTTATCATAAAGTTTTATTGTTAGATTGCCATTAATGTCTTTTTCTATAATATCCAAATATGAAACAGATGTTTCAAACTGTGTGGTGTCTTTTATTTTTAGATCAGAGGGATACATCGAATAAACGTAGAAATGAAAATGATTATTGCTATTTACAATCGAAAAGACGTCGTCAATTTCTCTAAATAAAATTGAAGGTCACAGCAAGAAACTTCTGTACATGTAGAAGTTTTTGAATAAATTCTTCTTCATATGAATACAAAAATAGGTCTGCTAAGCACAGGGCGCAATTGGTACCCATTGGAATTCCGAATTATGGTCTCTAAAAATACGTACATATCAGAAACTCAAGCATCTTTTTTATGTCAACTTCAGAGTACCTGTG